GGTGGCTCCACCACGACTTACTTCGGCTTTACACGAATTGCAAATTGCGATCTTTGGCTCATTTTCTTTTACAGCGTAGAACTTCCAAACCGACGACATGGCTGCTCCGAGTGACCTGTGTGTGAGCTCTCACAGTGGAGCAAAAGGGGACAGCAGCTGATTTTCAGACCTTTCCGGAGGCAGATAAGATCGGTGGATAAAATCGGCTTCTCATTTAAAGATCGGCCGATCGCCGATCTCCCCAAATTAAGGAAATCGGGGCCGATCGATCGGCCGGCCGATTTATCGGTGCACCCCTAGTCTTGGCATGATCTGCAGCTTAAGTTGAGGTTGGAGTCTTTTATTCTTTTATCTAGTTTTAAATTAAAACTGTCAGAGGTTTTAGTCACATCGTGCACCTGCAACATTATGTCTCAAATTGTGATATATTTTAAACTTGCATTGTATTTTATGACTTATTACCGGATGTTTTGTTACAACTACTTTAATATTACCATTACTGTTATTAAGACTGTTGCTGTAAATGGCTTGTTTGCACTGTGAACATTTTCCAGGACATCTATGTAAAAGAGATCAATAATTTCAACGCATTTCTTTCCTGGTAAAATTAAGATAATTTTTTTTTTTAAAAAGTCTAGTTTTTCTCGTCTCGTGTAAATACTTTTTTAAAGGAGAACTGGAAGCCCACAAAAACAACGTCACAGTACTGTCGCATGACATTGCGCCCAGTACAAACTGTCACATCTGCCCAGCTGCAGAGTCACTCTACAAGTAAAACACACTCACCAACCTTGTGTGGAGAGACAGATGGTTAGAAATCAACCTGTAAAATGGAGCTGCGCTGCTTGTTGGTCACTGAAGTCACAAACACTCATAATTTAGTGAGACTGACTGCAAACTGAAAAGATGCATATTTTCTCATAACTACTATTACCAGTAGTCAACTACCTTATGGGAGTGAGACACTACCATGATTGACAACCTGAAGATCGTGGATTGTTGTTGTTCACAAGTTTTGTCTTGCTATGCAAACAAAGACTAATCAAGTGAAGAATGTGAGTATCTGTCCTGTCTTTTTGAATTATCTGTGCATTCCTCAATCAGTTTTCTTTGAGCAGATTGATTTTTCATTTGTTTGTTTGTTTTTCTTCCCTAAATGCAGCACATCCTATAATCTCCACAGTCAATAGATTTATCAAATTTTAACTCTCAAGCTTTCCCCGCGTCTTTTGCATCGAAGAAGAACTCTACCTACACATTACCTGCACTCAGTTAAGTGACCCCTCGCTTGTTTGCATTGCATATTAGGATGGAGACAAATCCTCGACTAAACCAAAGGTTTCTGATACAATTATCAAAATAGTTTCTGGGTTCACAGCAGCAAGGAGCTCACTTTAGCTCAAATATCCAAACAGCAGGAAACATTTATCAATTAAAGTAGCTGCAGCAGTCAGCTCTGATTCACAGATGAGCTCAGAAACTATACTGAAGCAATAAATGACTAATTGCAAATGATGTCATGTTCTGGTAAGGTCAACACAAATGACCTGGTTTAAATTATAATAAGTTTATTAATTCAAGCCATGTGGGTGACCAATGCTCCACTATCAAATGTGCACCTCCTCCCTCTTCATTACAGAACTGAGGACATACCGTAGGTATATTTTATTTTTCTGTCATCTATCAGCCCTTGTGAGGTACAAAACTATGTGTTTTGATATGCTAATTTCCAAAGCTTCAAAACAATGTAAAAAGTACTGGGAGAAAATAACATTATCAATCTAACAGCTCTTATTTTGCAAGCTTACAAAGTCAAATTTAATTCAAGAAGTAAAACGAACTTTGATTTATCATTACATGAAAAATCTATAGCTGAATAAAGCTAGGTGAAGCAGACACTGTGTAAAATGTGCCAGCAGAGAAAGTTTTCTTCAGTGAGATAAGATTTTACTAAAATAACCAGGCCTACCGGGTTCAATATTATTCAGATAGAATCTGAGCTTTTTGTGACCATGTATAACCACTCTCCTAATGACACTAATTCATTCCACTTGTCCTTGTACTGTAGAGGAAGTGTGCAAGTATAAATATATTTTATTTATGAGCACAAAATTATTGATGCTCCTACACTTAGATTGACGAGAAGAATTTTGCAAATCTTCAAAAAAATTTGCAATTCATTGACATTTCAACAGTTCTATTATAGGTCATTTTTAATGATAGACCCAAATTAGAATGTATTTATTGCCCACCACCATAAAAGATGGGCATCATGTATTTAATTACCTGAGAAAATGTAAATATACAGTACTATCATCTACAATTGATAATATTGTCGAATAAAGTTAAGAATCTGAAGAAATCTCTGATCTCAAGCATCAACGCTGAAATTAATTACTGGATGTGATCTTTAAAACCTCAGGGGCCACAGCATCAAAACCAGGTTTGATTCTGTTGTGGGCATGTGTGGGCTCAGAAACACTTCCACAAATCACTCTACTGTTTTCTATGCCATCCAGAGACTGGTTAAAGCTTTTTTAATACAAAAAGTAAGCCAAATGTGAACACCATCCAGAAACTCAGACATCTTCTCTGTGCCAAATATATTTTAAAATGAAGTGAGGCAAAGCAGAAAAACATTCTGTGCTCAGACAAATCAAAATGTGAAATTTGTTGTGAAAACCTCTTCCTTAATTCATACTAAACTAATCCATATTAAAGAAAAGACAGACCATCCAGCCAGTTATAGGAACACAGTTCAAAATACTACCTCTCTGATGCCGTATGAAGGGACATTACTACCTATGGTACATTTACGTATGCAGCTTACAGCTGGACAGTAACCATCAGTTCAGAAAAGTATATACTGTTGTGACGTGTCCCTGTGTCAATTATGTACATGTGTGTCTAACTCATACACTCTCCCTCTGAACAGCTGATCGGCCAGAAGCTGTTTAAAAGGACCACGCTCCGCCTGCTGGACGAGCGAGGGAGGCCAGAGGAGACGTTGGTCTGATGGTTGTTGGTTTTGTTCTCCAGCCTCGCTTCAGCCACAGATTATTGCACTTTGTCACCGTCTTGTTGTTGAGCTATTTGTTGTTGGGAGTGGGAGTCACCCGTGTAGTTTAAGTTAATAATTTTTGGTTGTAGGATTAGTCCCTGGAGCATAGGATGAGGGGAGCAGCCCGAATCCGACGGTCAACTGCTGGCTGGTCCGGGGCTTCTCCCTCTTTTGTTTGTTTTAACCAGACCTCCCAGTCTGCATTTATGTTCAGATGACTGACTGATAATCAAAGCTTTGTCTAAATTGTACAGTCGTATGGGCTTCATATGTTGTGCGTCCTGTCATTTATTCCTGGACTTATCAGGACCATAGCATACAGTATTTGGGGGCTCGTCCGATCCAAAGATGTTTCAATAACATTTACTGGGACTTGTTTGGTTCCTGAAGTGTTTAATAACTTGTTTGGTTCCTGAAGTGTTTAATAACTTGTTTGGTTCCTGAAGTGTTTAATAACTTGTTTGGGTGCTCAGTTAATTCGTGGCATATTTCTAGGCCCGTCCTGTCACTGTGACTGTTGACGGTTTGTTTGCAGAGTGTCATTTTGGGTGACGTGTTTGGTCACACTCTATGTTGGTGAGACGTGTCAGCGTCTTGTGTCGGGATGCTGTGGTGTGGTCGTCTGGGCTTCATATGTTATGTGTCCTGCCATTTGTTCCTGGACTTATCAGGACCACAACAAAAAGAAAATATATATGCAGCTGTTACAGCTTTTGTTAAAAGTAGAGGGAATGTTTCAGAGAGGTAAACATGGCCTATCCAAACTTATTTTAATGTGCTGCTGCCAGTATACTGTATTTTAAATTACTTTAAGCACTTAAATATTCCATCCATTATCTTTTTACCCGCTTATTCCATTTTTGGGTCACGGGGGTCACCGGTGCCCATGTCCAGCTATCACTGTGCGAGGGGCGGGGTACACCCTGGACGGGTCACAAGTCCATCACAGGGACACGTAGAGACAAACGAGACAAACAACCATTCACTCTCTCACTCACACCTAGAGACAATTTAGAGTTACCAATCAGACTAACATATGTTTTTGGTCTGTGGGAGGAAACCGGATTACCTGGAGAAAACCCACGCATGCACGGAGAGAACATGCAAACTCCACCCAGATAGGCCCGCGGACTGGGATTTGAACCAGGGACCTGCTCGCTGAGAGGCAGCAGCTCTACTAGTTGCGCCACTGTGCTTACTTAAAAATTGTAAAAATAATAAATAATAATAATAAGTTTCAACATTTGACATGCAAACTAAAATGTTTGCACTAACAGTAACCACACTTTAATTCTGTTAAACACAAAATAAATGTAACGTGTAGCACAGAGATTCCAGATTAGTTGTAGGCAGTTTCTAAGAAGCTACTTAATTTAGTTTGGTTATTTACCCATTTTTTAAAGTCATGACAAGCTCCTAAAACAAGCTCTTAAACATTCAGAAAAACAGTACCCCAATAATTTTAACCCAAAAGTCCCATTCTGATACAAAAATGTCCCCATGACTCCTCAAAAACACCACATGTCTACACATATCTCTTGCAACTGTTGGTGCTAGATTATTGTGTATTGTGTGTATTTAGTCCTGTTTGGTGCAAAGCATAAATAATTATTTGAAAAAAGGGACACAATAGCAATGTGTGTCTTCTCTGTCTCATGAACTTGTAAGCATAACAAGATAATTTTTTAAGCTATTCCACCTCTCCTTTAGTGCAAACTGAACGGTAAACAGTAACTGAGGAAGCGTGATGTGAAGGGAGTGACATGTCATGGTACACAGGAAGTCCAATCACATCAGACCTCTATAATCACACACTGCATACCTGATTATATATGGGCCAGACAATAAACTGTTGTAATAACCAGAACCTTTAGCAACTATATAAAAAAAACTTCACGTCTACTGGTATAAAAGTTCAAAAATATAGTTTATACTTCACCTGATCTGCTCCAAATGGAGTGATGTTGGACTTCACAGTACCCACACCTAGTGCAATTAAGAAGAGTCCAGTATAGATTACTGGGCTACAATATGGGTCACGGATGGGGCAGTTTTTACTAGATAGAGAGGTGCCGTTTGTGCATTCAGGAGGTTGCACTGGAAACGCTTTCTCTTCTCCGCATAGGTGTATTCTTGTATTGTTGTTTGAAATAAAAGGGAAAAACAGCATGCCAATAAAATACAGGATCAAACTTGAGGCAATAGTCCAAAATTTCCCAAGGTATGCGTCTGCCAACCAGCCTCCAAAAGGTGAAATCAGGTATGTTATTCCCATGAACACCAGAGGAGCCTGGCTCGCCTGCGTTCCTTGCCAATAAAAAGGAGTACCATTAAGAAACAGAACCAGATTGGACGTGATGCCGTAGAAAGCAATCCTTTCCAGTGATTCAGCAAGCAGGACAGTTGCACACGCAAGTCTCCTTCCCTGGAAGACTGATGGTGGTGAAGGACTGTCACCTGAGTCCAATAGAGGGGTGCTCTCATCCGCATCCCTGTTGTTCGCCATCTTGATAGAAACAGCTTTAATCCCAAAAAAGTTACGTTAAACCTACAGGGGGGAAAACACAAATAGGGTTAAGTTGGTAAACTAAACAGTCAGTGACACAATTTTAAAAAGTCACTGAAAAATCACACGTGACACACTGTCTTTCAAGAGTTTCTCTTTGAAGAGTAAAATAAGACGCGGTTAAAATAAGCACTTAGTACAAACATTAAGCTAGCTGTAACATAGCTACGGTTTTACATTACCTTCAGTTGGCAAAACAGTTGTCTGCGGTCTTCAGTTCTTTCAATTAGCCAACGTAACGCTAACCGCTCAAATGTCTACTTTTTCTCGTCATGTAAATACTTTTTTTTTTTTTTTAAGGAGAACTGAGGTACACAAAAACAACGTCACAGTACTGTCGCGTGACACAGCGCCCAGCACGAACTGTCAAATCTGCGCAGCTGCAGTGTCGATCTATAAGTGCACCGCACTCACCAACGTCGCGTAAAGAAACGTAGAACGGTCTATCCGTATGACTTTTAAATTAGTTCAGTTTACGCATGCGACGTACATCCTCAGAAGAAAGAAGGAAGTGTTCGCGCGTTTCCTTCTTCTATTTCATATTATTATTCCCAGCATTTTCAAGTACTTTTTTTGTCTGTACTTGATGAATACGCAGTTAAAACGCATCCCAGAAAGAGTCGTGTAATAGGAAAATCATTTTCGTTAGGTAAAATAGTTACTCTCCACCGGTCCATGTGTTTCCAGGGAATAATGTTGGAGACGGACTTGTAAACATTTGAAGCATGGTGAGCTGCAGGAGGAGGTAGCCATGAAGTAGCACAGTTAGCATCACCTGCGTTTACGGGCATGAGTCCAGGAAATGTGATAGGAGTGCAGGTTAACGAGCCAGCTGAAACTCGGAGTTTGTTTCTGTTTGTTGGGTCGTTTTTCCACCACTTACTGGGACACAGCAGCCCTTTGTGGAGATCATGAAACTACTCTTTTTAGCCCCCCTCAGTCCCAAAACCGGGAACCACACAACAGCCGAGAGAATAAGGTAATTTACTGGCTGCAACAGCTGTTTCCTAATTAGCATGTAAGCCCTGATGACAGCATAGTTAATAGTTGACTAAGTCCATTAAAACTGTTGGTGTCGGTGTGCAGCTCTTTTGGCTGCTTGCAAAGGAAGGCAACATTAATGAACCAGTATGGCTTAATTTAACATGGTTTTATTCACTGGAACTAGACTCAAACATGTGATCTTAAGTCATGTGTTGGAGGAAGTACTCACATCCTTTCTTTTAGTGAAACTACATACTGTACTGCACACATGTAAACTAGATACATGCCCTTTTCTTGAAATGCAACTACAATAACACTCGAATCTGTATGATCTATTAAAATAACTATGTATTTAGATATTACAAATCAGTTTTTTATTATTTTTTATTATGCATACTGTGTTTGTCCCCAAGATAAATATAATAAAAAAATAATACTTTTAGATTAATGCAAAATATTTAATAATACAAGACATTAAGGTAAATAATTTATAACAGCTTTCATAAGCTTTGTCACTTTTATTTTGAGTTTTGTTATTAAGCCAAGTACAACTTGCCATGTAAAGTAAATCATCCAGTCTTACAGATAGCCCTGTATTTTCATTGTTAAAGCTTCATTTCTAATGAACTGAAGCTATCCGATAAATATAATGACACATCGTGTTCATCCCGTTGTAGAAAATCATAAAAAGGCAGAAAATGAAACCAAAATTATGTGCAAATGCCTAAAATTTAGCATGAAAGCACATTTCACTACTGCACGCCAGTCATAGTCAGATGTGTTTTATGTTTCAGGTCTTACATTGAATCAGCGGGACATACTTGTGAGCTCAGAGATGCAGGGGATTTTCAGTCTCCTGCTGAGGTGGCACATCTAGTGTCGGGGACTCCTCCGTATGAAGGTGCACTGGCCATCCACGTGTTTAAAGCTGGCAGACTCCTGCTGGGTAAACATCCTTACTTTATTTACTTATGAGCTGACGTTCAAGAATTGACTTTGATCAGAAAAACAGTAGACCTGTTCTACCTCTTCTTATAAATGTAATTATTATTTTGTGCCTTGTTGGTTCTTCACTATAGATGTCCAAGTTCCTTTTGGCGTCATTTTTGGTGGAACAGACATAAATGAAGACGTGAAAGATGAACGGAAGCGTGTGGTTATGGAGCAGGTGCTACTGAAAGCCAGGTGATGTTGCTGCAAACTATTATCAGAAATAGTAGTAAGTGGGTGTATACAATTAGGTATTTATTTTATGTTTAATTCTACAGAAGTGTGCACAGTTGAATTTTCTTCCATAAATAGATAGTTCAGATCTATTAATGTGAGGTTCTGTGGAATGATTAGAATATTATATCTGTTATAAAAAGCTCTTTGAATGACCTCTGTTGGGGGTGGGTTGTTTAGCGTAGCGCTACGTTAGTATTGCCAGTAACGGGCAGTTGTCAACTGGGGACGGGGGGGTTGGTTTTGGAGTAGCTCAACGTTTGTATTGTGCGTGTTTGTCACGGTTTGGAGTCTGAGCTGAGCTGCATCAATCTCCGCTCCTCACTTCGGTTCTTTTGACGGCGGAGCGCCCTCCTTGAATAATGAAGGGGTTACAAACTGTTACAAATTTCATATTGCACAGTTATTATTGCAGAAATATTGTTATGCCCGAGGTTGCATCAGAAGTGCTACAGCTAGCTGCTAATGCACTTGTGTATGAAATGCATACAATTCTGTAAATTACTGAGTCATGCAAAATTGACAGCAGTGTAAAGATTTAATATGTGTTTGCATTAATCACTATGAAACATTTGTCATGGTTTGGTCCTAACTGGTGTTCCTCCTGCCCGGGACAGCTTTTGCTTGATTATTTTGGTCAAAATTAAACTTTATTCCTCCAAACTGAGGCTGTTCAAAGAGCTATATACAAGATGTTAACTATTCATAACCTTTCCACAAAATCCCTCTTCAGAAGAGCTGACTTCTGTCACTTTCAACGAGCACATCCTGGAAACCAAACAGCTTTTCTAAGAAAGAGAAAATAATGAAATAAGAAGAAGGAACCATTTCCCCATGCCTATCTGTAACAAAGTCATATGTTTCTTCTGAGAAAGCTCAGCTGATCCGATTTAAAATAACTTATGTTGACTGTGGCGTTATTGAAGCTTTACAGTCCTTTTTGTTATAATTTTAAACAAATATTTACAGCATATTAAGTTTATGTATAAAAGGGTGTATTAAGACGTATTTTTCCAAACTTCCTTTATAGAAGTTTGATGCAGCTGTCCACATCTCCAAGTGCAAACAGGAAGTAACCGTGACCACTTGAGTAGCTTGTTTCACATCATCAATATAAAATTAAGATGTTTTCTAATATTGTTCAATCATGTCTTTTGTTTTTTTCTCGTCTTGAACAAACTAACAAACCTAATGTGAGATTTACAGATTATAGCATGCTAACACATTGTGATCAACATTAGCCAACACAAAATGTTTATAACCGTGTTTACGTTACAGATGTGCTACAGTTGACGTGGTAGTAGCTGAGAATTGTCACGCATATGCTGAGTAACAGCACATTTTGTGATTTCTTGCAATATTGAGATTGTGCACTGTTTCATTTGGCACGTTTGCACAAAATATTTTTAACTCTGCCTCTTCTCATTGTAAGATCTTAGTTTAGCAAGTGGCAGGCGATATGTATTCCTGTAAAGAACGACAGACTTTTTTTTTTTTCTCAGAATTTATCTCAGAAATGATAAACTATAGTTTTAGTCATTAATGTAGAAAATCAGGTCTGGGTTTCTCAGCTGCTTCCTGTCCCTGATGGATGTGATGAAAGTCTGAGGCTGAGCAGCTGTAATCCAACTCCAGCTGTGAGGTTTTTTTTTCTTTTTCCAAAGTTTAGCAAAGAATACTCATCGATATCATGAGCTATGACCTGACATCCAACTCTGCCTCTTTTCATTTGAACTAAAAGTGCATGGTAGGGAATTTATCTAGTAAGTCTGGAAGTTTGAGGGCATAATTGCCTTGTTGGAGAAATGGGAGTCCAGCTCCTTCAACTTCAAACATCTCAATCCATGCAATTCCCCCTGCTTGTGCCTCTTCACACTAACTTTGATCATGAAATTCGGTCACCTCACAGAGCCCGTTGGCCCATTTAATAATGCACTGCCACACAAGCAAATTAATATGCCCCCACTGATTTTTGCCCTAAATTCCCTTCATTTTTTTCTCATTGTATTCTCTCAATGTTTGTCCCGAAAGCCCTGCTTTCATTCCCTGTTTATAGAGAATGGCTAACAATGTGACGCATTGCACGTGGGGTAACTGACACCATGTTGGAAGTTGCTATAGTTAGGTTATGTGAGTCAAACGCAAATGTGGTGTACAAAAATAAACAAGAAATGGAAAAACGTTTTTTGTGACAAGTTGTCAAGGGTTGGGAGGAATGGGTCGAGTTCAGGCTGACTAAAACAACATGGTACATTTCAGACTACTCCACGATGTGATGTCCTTCTGACATTTTCTATAGATGCTTGTTTGTTTCCACCGCTGCTGCTTTCTGTTCGTTGTGCTTCAGATTGTGTTTGATTTTAAAACACATCAAACTCATTGTCACTAATACATTTCTTGCTTTACAGAAATGTCATTTCCAGTGGTAATAACAGTGTTTTCTTGTTCCCATTCAGGTTTGCTGTTGCGTTTACCGATAAACTAAAAGAAGAGGCAGAACAGTTTTTGGTATGATTGGACTGTTTGTTTCATTTTGATTGTAAAACAGCTGGTGGTTTATTGTTGGAGACTGAAAGTGTTGCTCAGGGTGGTACAAGCAAAAGTGTTCCGCAAAAGATTAAGTAACCAAAAGTCATGCTTTGATCTGCTCTCAGACATCAGGATGGGGTTCTGAAGAGATTTTTCTTGATGATTGAGGTCGCTGATCTCAATCAACTTCAGATAAGCAAACTGTAAAGCTGTATTGACGAGTTGCATTGCAAACATGCTGATGTACTTTATGTCTAAAAATGATTTTTAAAATGTACTTTTTCACTTATATATCTGATCACTGTGCAAGGTGTTGATAATCTGATCAGACTGGGGCAGTTCTAAGTATCAGCTTTGTCAGATGAGAGGGTTGTTTTCCATCAGTTTAATTTTTCTGCTACATATATTTTTTATCTGCAGACTGTAAAAAATAGAGTAGCTACATCACCTTTTCTTGGCTACCTTTTTTAAATCTATTTGACACTATTTTGTAATTTTTTGTTTTGGGGTTCAGACGTCACTTTTTGAACAAACCTGTGAAGCTGTGAAGCTAAGCATAGTTCATTAAAATACAAATATGCAAACATATGAAAATTATTTTAAATTGTGGAACAGTGAGGCTACAAGGAGCAGAAGTCACAGTGCAGGACTTCAAGTACGTGGGGTCCACTGTCCAGGAAAATGGGGAATGTGGTAAAGAGGTGAAAAGAGAATTCAGGCAGGATGGAGTGGATGGAGAAAAGTTTCAGGAGTGATTTGTGATAATAGTGTCAGCAAAGGTCCAAAGAAAAGTTTACAAGACAGTTGTGAGACCAGCTATATTGTATGATCTGGAGACAGTGACATTGACAAGAAGACAGGAGAAAGAACTGGAAGTGGCAGAAATTAATATGTTGACATTCTCCTTAGGAGTGACAAGGCTGGATAAGATTAGGACCGAGATCATCAGAGGTGCAACACAGGTTGAACAACTGGGAGATAAAGTTGGAGAGACCAAACAGAGATGGTTTGGACATGCCAAGAGGAGGGACAGTGGGTATACTGGTAGAAGGATGTTAGAAATGCAGCTGCCAGAAAAAAGACAAAGAGGAGACCCTTTCCAAAAAATTAGAATATCATGGAAAAGTTGTTTAACTTCCATAATTCCATTCAAAAAGTTAATCTTTAATAGATGATAGATTCAGGGCCCATAATTTAAATGATTTCAAGTATTTATTTGTTTATTTTTACATAATTTGGGCTTCCAGCTCATGAAACCCACAAAAACAGGATTTCAAAAAATGAAAATATTGTGAAGACATCAGTCCACACTACTTCTCAGTTTTTACAGAAAAAAGAAAAAGAAATTAGGATCACAACAAATCAATCAAAATATGATACTTTCAAAACGATATGTCATTCTTCAATACTTGGTTGGGAATCCCTTTACTTTAATCACTGCCTTGATGCGATGTGGCATTGAGGCAATCAGCCTGTGGATTGACTGGGAGTTATGGAAGCCCAGATTTCCTTGATGCTGTCAGCTCTTCTTTGTTGTTGGGTCTGGTGCCCCTCATGTTCCTCTTGAGAATACTCCATAGATTCTCAATGGGTTTAGGTCTGGCGAGTTGTCTGGCCAGTCAAGCACTGTGACATGGGTATCAAACCAGGTTTTGGTGCTTCTGGCAGCATGGGCAGGGGCCAGGTCCTGCTGGAAGATGAAATCTGCATCTCCATACAGATCATCAGCAGAAGGAATCATGAAGTCCTCTAAAATGTTTTGGTAGACTGTTGCAGTGACTTTGGATTTAAGAAAGCAGAGTTTACAAACACCTGCACTGGACATTGCACCTCAAATCATGACTGACTGTGGATATTTCACACTGGACCTCAAGCAGTATGGGCTCTGTTCCTCATCCTTCTTCCTCCAAACCCTTGGACCTTGATTTTCAAATGAAAGGCACACTTTACTTTCATCAGAAAAAAGGACCGAGGAACCAGACAGTTGTAGACCATCTCCCGGATGCATCTGAATGTGGTGGTTTTTGAAGCTGTGACTCCCGCCTCATTCCACTCTTTCTGGATCTCTGTCAGATTCTGGAATCTTCTCTATTTGATAATCAGCTGAAGCCCACTGTCATCTATTTTGCTGGTGCATCTTCTCATGCCACACTTTGTCCTTCCACTAGACTTTCCATTGATATGCTTGGACACAGCACTCTGTGAACAGCCAGCCTCCTTAGCTATGAACTTTTATGGCTTACCCATCCTATGGAGGGTATCAATGATGGTCTTATAGGTCTTATATATGTGTATATATATATACATATATATATATATATACATATACATATATATATACATATACATATATATACATACATATATATATATATACATACATATACAT